GCGTAAAGGTTATTACCCCTGTACTAAACCATTTTACACAGCACATGCAAAACAAATCCAATTTCAAGTAAACAACTTGAACCCCTGTGTGTAAAGTAACGAGTTCTTGCCTCTAAAAACAGCTTGCATAAAATTAATAAGAAAGTTTAAATATGGGAACTTTACCTGTGAAAGATTATTGCCACTTCCCTTTTTCGTAACTGTTATTTGCAACCGTATGCAACACATGAACTTTGGCATTTTCGATTTGTCTGCCCGTCCATTCAATTAGGGAAAATCCTTCGTGAAGTGTGATTGGCAGGAAAGTTTCCCTTATCAGTAATGGCGGCCGCCGCTCACAGAAATCACTAGCGATTGGACGGAGTCCGCCCGTCTAGGGTCTAATATATAACTCTATGGTTTTACCAGAGCATACTCAGCATAGTCACTTCGGCTTTACCATAGATATACAGTGTGTTGTATATATCTATGGTTTTACGTACAACTAAATAAACTTCTTGTCGTTATTGTCGTAACTTGGTCAGGTAGTCCTAGTTCGGCCCTGGACACAAATAAACATGGACAGCCAGGTAAGCATAACTAGCCATAAGGCCACGCCGTGACGGGATCGGCGGCCCCTAGGACCAACCCCCAATAAAAATAAAATAAAAATAAAAAATTTCAAAAATTTCAATAAAAAAAGAAGAAGTCTCACAGCATGGTCTGCGGTTAGGGTGTCGTTGTGGCCGATGATGCAGAAGAAATAGTATTGTCACACAAAACTGAAAACAGCGTCTAAATTGATTTATACCTATTTTATACATTTAACTAAAAAAAACACTACCTATTTTTAACATTTAACTAAAAAAAACATTTCAGAACACAGATCCGGCCCCTTGTTACTCGCCCTCGAGGACCCCCCCCCCCCATCTAAATTCCTTCGGCTACGCCCTTTGGCTTATTTTACTGGTAATGCCTGTATTAGAATCACACGATCAAGATGTCTGGCCTGTGATTAATTTACTTAGGTAATTATCCATACTATTATTCAATACATCACTGTCAATAAAGACCAGTCATCTTTATGAACTTAGAGGTTATTGTAACACGTGCTGCTAACATGCAGACGATGATACATGTAATAAACAACAAACAATAATAATAATATAATGTAGACATGCGTGCTAAAGCCGGCGCCACATTGCCGAACATTTTGCACAAAACATCGTAGCAATGTGCGGTGAAAAAAGTCGCCGAACATTTGTTCCGAACAATGTTTCTGAATGATTCGGATACATGTTTGATATCTCGACATTGTTTCGTCGAATGTTCGTCAATGTGCCGCTGAATGTCGAACAATTCTAGCCGAACATTGTAAATGCCTATTCACGCCGATTGCGCCACACGCCGATTCACGTGATCTTACAAACCAGCTATAGGACGGCACCATGAGATATGTTTCGCTGGGCAAAATGGTTCGGCAATGTGCCGCTCAGCATATTGTTCACCCGCACATTCCAGACAAAAAACATTTGTCGGGAAAATTGCTCGGCAATGTGCGCCAGTCTTAACCACACATCTAGTTAGTTAACATAGATTTTGACAGTGCTAAAGTAAAACAGTTTAAGTAACATGCCTGACAAAATATAAGTTCTGGACCGGTGCACGGGTATATTTTCAGCAGCTGAGTAGTAGCGACGTACCGGCCGACCTCGCTATTCACCCGTCGCCTGTTCGTCCGCGCGTCCGTCGGTGACGGCAGCGACGCTTCCTCACGTTTACTCTGAGTGGTCCAGCGCGATCTGGACGACATAGATGAACATCAAGTTCTCCCGCTCGCAGGTTAGTGTCCCGAGTCAGAATGGGAGTGGGATGAGAGAGAGAGAGATAGAGAGAGAGAGAGGAGAGAAAGGCGGGAGTGTTGGTTGAGAGGGGGAAGAGTTAGATATATAATAGTATATATATATATATATATATACATTATATATATATTTTATATATATATAGAGAGACGAGAGAGAGAGACGAGAGAGAGAGGAGAGACGAGAAAGAGAGAGGACGAGAGTGAGAGAGAGAGAGGAGAGAGAGACAGACAGGGAGAGTATTAGACGAGAGAGAGAGAGATCCTACAAGAATATCTATATATATATACGAGTGTACACTAACAGCACCACGCCGTACGAACCACAAGGCTAATCTTGAGCACGGATAGTCGACACAAACGACTTGGCCTAACACGCTACACCTAACAATGACCACATCGAATTTAAGAAAAAGGCTTGATTTGAGCAAGGAGTCGTCGACCGATACTCACGCGACGGACTTTACAAACACTCGTCAGTACTCCTCCGGTAATGTAAATCACATGCTACATGATCAATCAGACACCAGTAAGGCGCACTCGATCCAATCTCACTCGACCTGTTTTATGCTTAGATCGAGCGAGTCCATTAAAGTGTTACAAAAAAGATTTGAATTGGGAGGTGCAACGATTGTTTTCGTCGTCACTATGACGACGCCACGAACAATGCAGCGTCGTCCAACGAACTAATATAAAACTCATTATAAAATACCAGAAGAAAACGCGACTTACCTACGGTTACCACGACGACATAGAAACGGAAAAGTCACCGCAAGACGCGCGATTCGTAAACGCAACGCAAACTTAAAGATTTGACGTTTGTGCTTACGTTACGTTACGGTTCTTTCGTAGAAAAACCGCATACGCACCATTCCCCTCAAAAAACGCAACACCTCAAGACGTGACACCGCACGAGAGATAATAAATACGAATTTTTTTCCACGGCCACATGCCGCGCTAAAACTCCAGCAGCTACGGATCCCAGACACATCACCAGGCTGTTTCTAAAAAAAACTTCTGGACATAAAAAAGACGCTAAAAGCAACGCAAAGACGACGACGACGACGGAGTAGGAGATAATTATACGGATGTATACGCGTCGGGCGCATCGTTTGTTACGATAACGCCAATTAAACATTTCAGTGAGACGACCGCCCCTCGCGCAAAACTACGACTCCACCTCACTGCAGACAAGTGGTGCCATCTAGCGACACAATAAGCAATGATTGACACGACGACGAACCAGGTTCATCAGCCGCCGCGCGTTGGTTGTCGTCTGCCGCCGCACGTTGTAAGCTGCGGTGCGCTTTATATCTATATACAAGTTGCCGTCGTTATAAAGAATATATAGATTTAGACTTTGACGTATCACAAACGTTTTTTTTCTGTAAGAACTCTCTGTACACTATAAGCAGAGGAAGCTTTCTTCGAGCCCTCACCCGTGTGCAGCTCTCTAAGACACGATCGAACTACGCGGCGCGGTGCGACCCCGCCATGTCGAATAATCAAAACCCAACATCCGCCACGATCAACTTGTACCATGATGCTCTAACTATGCAGCAGCAGCAACATTATCAGTAGCAGCAGCACCACCATAAGCAGCAGCAGCAACAGTAGCAGTAGCAGCAGCAGCAGCAGCAGCAGCTTAGAACAGTCCGCACTCCTTCAGGTTGTTCTTGATGATGATGTCGGTGACGGCGTCGAACACAAAGCGGATGTTGCTCGTGTCGGTCGCGCACGTGAAGTGTGTGTAGATCTCCTTCGTGTCCCGCCGACGATTCAAGTTCTCAAACTGCAGCTGTATGTAGCCGCCCGCATCCTCGTACGTGTTCGGACCTGAAAAAGTTCAATTTTAAGACTAATGTCAAAGATTAATTTCGTTTCTGTCAACAGTCTACAAGAAAAAGTTAGCATTGACACCAACCCCAAGACTAACTTTGTTTATGTCAACAGTCTACAAGAAAAAGTTAGCATTGACATGGAGGAGGATGTGAGGTGATAGCAGGAAGAGATAAGCCGACGACGTGACGTCAGAGAGGACGCGACGCAGCGTGACGCATTCATTCATGACCGCTCGCCGCAGCGTGACGCATTCATTCATGACCGCTCGCCGCAGCGTGACGCATTCATTCATGACCGCTCGCCGAATCTCGAAATTCCTCGGAATTTTCTGTTGGTGCTGATAGTGCGCGCTAGGTGCTGCCGAGAAGTCGCTCCCTGCCTTCCCAGTCTGGCCTCTACCCTGCCTGGTCATTGCTATCTGGGACCCCGTTGACAGAAACAACATCACATTAGTCCTAACATAAACTTCGTCTCATAGACTGTCAACAGAAACGTAGTAACGTTATGATTTTCTTACGTGCAGTGTGTAGAGGTCCAGTCTACGAACAAAGGTTCAGACTGATGCAGGGTGTGAAATTAACGGGAGTCCGGAGTCAAATACTCCCTGATTTACTGTCGGACTCCCTGATTTGACATATGCACACATTATGCTGGAGTCCATGTGACTCCCTGAAAATTCTGCCATACATGATACTAACTAGTTCGTTCCAGAGCACGGCCTCGTGGAAATACCGTATTTTTTCAGCTAATATGGAAAGAAAATTTGACACACGTGCAACCGCATGAATCTTAAAAATAAGCACATGTATGCGTTATTGTTAATATCTTTAATTTTGAAACTCAGACTGCGGACTCCCTCATTTTGCTGTGGACTCCCTCTTTTTGAGGGTAGGGAGTGCGTTGGACTCCCGTGTTCAAAAGTTAATTTCTACCCCTGCTAATGTTTAGACGAATTATGTTTCTGACAACGGGCTTTACCCGTTCACCCATCCTCCAACCCTCCCTACCCCACAAATACACTGCCTGGGCCCTCCCCCTCCTAACCTCCCTACACGGGGGGGGGGCTTGCCCCTCCTGAGATTACTAACAATCAAGAGTAGATAATAACACATTATAATGTGTTATTATCTACTATTGTAACAATGTACTAACAAATGTTCAAATGGATAATCGCAATGCATTATACTCAGTAATAAATACACATAATAAATATCACAATGTGAATGTATTCATAATAAATATCACAAAGTATTCATAATCGACATCATTCACCAGGGGGCGCTCTCACGCACAACAAAACAAACCCGGCGTCACTCACTAGGGGGCACTGTCGTTGAGCTGGTACTCGCGCGAGCGTGAGAAGCACTCCTGCACGCCCGTGTCCGCCCACAGCCGCTTCATGATGGCCGCCAAGTCCGGCGACATCTCGCCTTCGTCGGACGCGCTAACGAGCGCGAACAGCTGCCGCGCGTCGTCCTGAAAAAACAGAAGAACGCGCGACGTGAGATCCCGGCGCCCTCACACGTCGCGGAATCGGCGACGCCCGACGACGGCGAGCGTCATTGTTCGTTACGCGATCGGGATTCTAGATTGATGGTTTTTTAATTATTATTATTATTATATATTTCTTATTGGTGATTTTATCGTTATTATATATTTGTTATTGGTGATTCTAGATTGGAGCGGATGTTATTGATGCTCAGTACTCCGATAGCTAGTTCTGCTTCCCCAGAGATGCAAACACATATTTGAAGCAATCTGTAGTTTCTGGCCATCAAATTAGTGTGAGTTTGCTAGAGGGGTCCGGCATGCCTCCCGGAAAAATTTTTGATTCTGAGATGCAATTTCCTGCATTCTGAGGGTCAAAAATGACAATAAATTGACAACAACAAAAAAATATTCGATCACAGTGAAATTCGTAGTTTGATACAAACTGGTTGTAGTGGTGCAAAAGGAATACTAAGAAATTCGTATAAAATACGGATAAATCATATTGGTTGGCATCTCTGCTTCCCCACGTGACTGTTAACGGGCTTGCCGCCCCCACAGTCGCTGCCTGGCGCCCTCTGCAATACTACGGTTTATCAGATTTTACCCGAAGCATGTACGACGTGTATAAAGGACGTGTCCCTCTTCTGTATAAACAAATAAACTCTGCAGTAGACCGAGACAAATCCCAGCGTTCCCCGAAACTGCCAGTAGGGGGCGCTCACCGCTCTGTCTGGGTCTCTGAAGTTGATGCGTAGCTGACCCATGGCGCGTATGATGGCGATCATGCTCTGTATGGTGTTGCTGTAGACGACGGGTTTGTACTGTATGCAGTCATCTCTCGTGTATCCGCTCTCGTGGATGATCCTGCGCGGCGAGACAAAACAAGCGAACAGCTGTCAGACGCGGAAACGCGAACGCCGTCTGCGACTCTAAATTACTCTCAGTTACGCAGGGTGCAAAATTAACGGAGTCCGGAGTCAAATACTCCCTGATTTGACATATGCAGGAGTCCCGTGCGACTCCCTGAAAATTTTGCCATACTAACTAGTTCGTTCCGAAGCATGACCTCACAGAATTACCATATTTTTTCAGGTAATGTTCAAAGAAAATTTGGCAGACGTGCAACCCCATGAATCTTAAAAATAAGCACATGCGTTAATATCTTTTTAATTTTAAACCTTAGACTGGGACTCCCTCATTTTGCCGCGGACTCCCTCTTTTTGAGGGTATGGAGTCCGTTGGACTCTCGCATTCAAAAGTTAATTTCTACCCCTGGTTACACGTTACTTGATTACTCTCAGATTCGACGCCACGCGAAATTTAGTTGCGTCTGCGTTTAAGGAAAATGGAAATTTTCGCATGCGAAGGCCTGGGCACAGGGGAATGTATTAGTAGCGCTGAAATTTGTGGGCAGTCGAACTGTCGGATTATTTGCCGTAGGACGTCGTGGGATTTACTCTACTGTACGCGATCCGTCCCCGCCACGCTCGCGCGTCCCCATCAGCTGACGAATACTTACTTCATCTGTTTTACTATTGTGCTTTTGCCCGATTCGCCGGCACCTGCAATTAACAAAAAATGTTCATTGTTAAGGAAAATTAATTAACGTACAGTGACAATTCAGAGAAATCGAGGCAGCATACTGGGAAGCAAAACTTTACTCGAGCAAAACTTTCCCCCGCGAATCAAAACAGATACGATCGACAGCAGTAATCGTAAAACCGCGTCACGACTGATATCGTGACATCACACATCATACATTAACACACATTTACACTCACGAGGATTCGATATTAGGGGAGTATAGTATAGATAGATATGTTCACGTTGACAAACATCCACATAATATTATAGATGATATAGATCGTGCTGTGACGTCAACGTTCGAGAAATCGGGTCATTCTTGGAGCATGAGAGTATAGGCATGTAAACACTGAATGAACAGTTCTCAGAAAAACGCATCATAACATAGGTATATATAATTATAATAGTTGGCTCGTGTGTATAGTAAGTCGTAAGGGTGGGGGACGATACGGGTAGCTCAGGATACGATCCGTATCACGATACAACCTACAGAATAGAAAAACAACTGCTACGGAATTGTGAATTGTGTTACGTTTCTTATGTGTTTTGATGAAACCACACTACTACTACTAAGCGACATGAATGTTATTCAGTAGAGTGTCAATACACGTATCGCGAACGGTCAAACGTATTTATGTGTATCGTCGAGGTTTGTACCGCGATTCATCGATGAATGGTCCCCACCCCCTAGCAGGTTGTTATAAGCGCCCCCACCCCCGCTAGCTACCACGATGAAACCACTGCCCACCGGCCACACGTGTGAGTCGTAGCAGCGGGGCAGGGGGCGCAATGTTGCTTGCTCCCTCTATATACCCTATATAACCCCCGCCTTGATATCTATTTCATATCTAACCCCCTCTTGATATCTAATTGATATCGATCCACCAGGGATAACACACACCACACACACACACACACACACACATCCCGGCACACCAACGGCACATATGACGCACCACGCACACGCACTGACGCACACAGCACGACCACGTCCACACGCACACACATCACACACCGCGCCCTCGCCCGCACATACGCGCAGCACGCACTCACAGCACGCACACACCACACACTCACCACACGGGGCACGCACGCACGCACGCACCACAACACACACACACACACGCACGCACGCACGCGGCACGAACGCACGACGACACCACACACACACACACAACACCACACCACACACACACCACGCCCACCACACTGCGTGTGACGCACGCGGTACGTGGCAGAAAACAAAGTCATTGGCATCAGCTAGTGTGTGGTTACCGGTCTGTGTACACACATAAGCGGCGGCAAATCCTAGTCAACGTTTAAGTTGTACTTTTGTTGTAGGGCTATTCGAAAAGTTTTATATCACGTAGTACGGAACACTTAAAGGAAGCAGTAGCCATCTAGGTTCTAGGGGTTCTTTTTCAGCTAATTTAGGTTATAATTGCACTACAATAAAAAGTTTCATGGTTCAATCACCATTACGAACATATTTTTTTTTAATGTTTTAAAAACTAACTACTACAGTTGATTACAACGACGGTGGCGCCACTCAAAGCGCACGATCTGAAAAGTTGGCGTAAAACCACTTTCCAGGCCAGGGCTACAGACGAGGGGTATTTCTTATTATTAATTTAAACAGCAAAAGGATTGTAATTATCTTATAAACGACATATAGTTTCAGTTATAGATATGGATAAATTTGCCCTAAAATAATATCGTTCGGTTAAAATGCATTTAGGTATAAATATAATCTGCAGCTTTTTGAGAATTAGCCTCGTCATTTACGTCTGCAAAATGAAAAATGCACAATACGTCAATCTTTTTCAGGGTGGCATGAACGGTCCGCGGGTGTCATGCGCGCCGCGTTCAATTTGCGTAAGCGTTTGATGTGTAAATAATTAAATTAAGTGATGGCTGTGACAAAAACATGTGGTATAGACGATTTGTTTCATAGCAGTAAGTAGCAGTTGTATGCAGTAAAATCTAGAGCCTTACTGTCCCTTTAAAAAGTGACAGCCATGCGGATTTTACCAGGAACGTTCCTTTTCGCAAAAAAAAACCATGCATCTAGGGTCCACATGAATTGAATGGCTGGCCCTGATAACTGAAAAACGTATCTGCTGTATGTACTAGGGCTGATCTGGCTGTACCTAAGATATGTGAAAGTAAACACGTAGCACCAACATCCTCTATATCAGAAGTAGATAATAGGGATCCCACATAGGGAATTCCTATTTATCTACTTCTGTCATAACAACACAGGCCATGTAGAGAATGCGCGCAGTATCACTGCTGAATGAAAGTATACACGTACTTGCAAGTACACATGCGAAAAGAATAGCAGTATTTTTTATATACA